ATGTAACCCAATTTGGAGAATGGAGTCTTTTGAAGTGGGAAGCGGGAGAACTAGGTTCTGGTCTGACGGACTCCAAGAGTGAATCTTGTGGACAAAGGAGAGTGGGTAAAGCTGGGTGAAGCCATAGAAGTTTATTGAGTAAAGATACAAAAAAAGCTCTCAAGAGTGAGAGGGATCCCAGCAGGGTCTCCTTGAGGGCCTTTAGGGTTGGTCTTTAATAGAAAGCTAACCAGTGAACTTAAATCCTTTTAACGTGGGGCACCTGGACGGCTCAGCCATTGGGTGTCTACCTTTGGCTCAGGTCATGATCCCGGAGTCCAGAGATTGAGCCCCTTCTCCCTCCCCCACACCTCCTGCTTGTGTTCTATCTCTGCTGTGTCTCTGTCAAATAAATAAAAAGAATCCTTTTAACATAATCTTTTGATATCACCATTGAACAAAAACTAGTGATACTGCCTTCTATGGCTTACTTCCTAGGGAGTCTGGTTATTCTTTGTTGGTCACAGGTGATTATCATAAAAAAAAAGACCTCACAGGCCTAGGGTTTGTTCCCCTATTTCTGGTTTCCCCCATCTCCACATTTTTGGGATTTCTGTGAGCCTGACTCATAGCCCCCTATCTGTTTCTCCCTACCTAACCCCACCTGTCCCTTACTCAAGGTTAACTGAGATCATTAGGGTGAGCCCTAATAGGATGTGAACTATATAAGACAAAGAACTAAAGAGAGAGACAGAAAGGTATACAGACATGTGTGGAGAACATGTGTAAACATGAACGGAGGCATTGACATGTCATGTTGAGAAACCTAGGACCCACCCCTCATAGCCTTCAGATGGGCAAATTGCCAACACCTAGATTTGGAATTCTAGTTTCCAGCACTATGGAGATAATACATTTCTATTGTTTAACCATTCAGTTTCTGGGATTTTGTTACAGAAGCCCTAGCAAACTGATACAAAGGATTTATAACAGTGATCCATGCAGGTCTATTGGAGGACCCCAAGAAAGGGACTAGCCAAGAGGGTCTTGACTTCATGCAGGATGGAAATCAAACATGAGCTAGCAGGAAGTAAAAGAGTTTACTGAAGATATGTAATACATGAGAGAAATGTGGACAGCACATCCTGGAGACTCAGGAAGGAAAAGAGCATGAGTCTTGTCTTTGCTTTGAGTCTGGGATTTTTATTGGGTATTGTGGTCTGGTGCATGTGAACTTAAGCATTTAAGAAATAGAAAAAGGACAGACAGGGTCCAAGTGTCCTTTTCATAAGGTACTCATTCCCTGAAGCCAGGGTTCTTGGTGTCAAGGTGTTCGGAGTCCGTGGTCTTGGAGAACATTAATGTTAACTATTGTGCTTGAAGACTCCAAAGTTAGCATTATGTCTTGGTCCTTTAACGAGGACCTGTGTTATTTGTGTTGCAAGGCATGTGTAGAGTGGAATGGGGGTGCAGGTCCTAGCAATGACAAGCTGGAGCAAAAGGAAAAAAAAAATGGCTTTTTCTATGGGGTCCCTTCAGTTTCTGTGTCTCAACAGGAAGCAGATGTTTCTGGCTCAAAGGGTATTTACAGAAGATGGGGACTTGACTGTAATGAAAATTCATCATGCACTCTTTCAACATGCCCAATCTGTGCTAGAATTTGGAGAATGACCATTCAAACCACAATCAGAAAACATTTTTTGTAATAACTTTCTGTGAGAGGACAGTCACATTTATTTGTGTATATATTTTTATATTTTAGTGACAGGAATGGGTCATTGGAACAGATTGTATGGCCCACGAGTATTTACTTTCTGGCTCTTTACAGAAAAAGCTTGCCTTGCCCTGACTAGAAAAGGTCGCTGCTTAGGGATACTGCCTACAAGGGGACAAAATGAGCATATGTAGCAAATGATCTGGTCTGGACACAAAAATCACAGGGGACATCAGTCATGATACCTCTCAGTGTTTTGATTCTCAGAGTAATAGACTAGGACAGTGTGGATCAAGAGGAAGGCACTGAGACACTTTTACATTTTCATCCCTAAAACTGGATGGAGCCTACTCTAATGGGAGAAAGATCCTCCTAAAAAAAAGAAACAAGAGACACTAAAAGAAGAGAATTTGGTGGGTGGGGAGTTATAGTCCTGAGGCATTATGACTTAACCGGAATTTGGGACCCACCAAAATGACATGTGTTAATAAAACAGAAGTTTATTTTGAAAAGGGAGAGAGTACAGTAAGCTCCTAAAGTCCTTTGTGGAAAAGCCATTGAAGTAAGAGAGAAAACCAAAAGGAATATTGAGAAATTTCAAAAGATTATGTGCAAATTGGCAACTCCTACTTAAGAGAACTATGAATGCCATCATTACTAAAATACGTATTTTGGCAGAACATCAAATCCTCAATATGCTTTAAAGAAGTTGTCAAAAGACAGAATGTTCTAGGGTGCCTAGGTGGCTCAGTCAGTTAAGCGTCTGCCTTCTGCTCAGATCAAGATCCCGGGCTCCTGGGACTGAGCCTGGCATCAGGATCCCTGCTCAGTGGGGAGTTGGCTCCATTTCCTCCCAAGAAAACAAACCATTACTGCAGTTCTGAGAGAGAGAGAGAGAGAGAGAGAGCTACCTACAAGTCTAGGACCTATAGGAGATAGCACACAGGTAGAGGAATGTGTCTTAAGTAAAACTTGTTTGAAGGGCAGGTGAATTCATAATTTATTCTACAGAATCCAACAGTAAAATAAACTAGTTCCCAATGTTTCTTAGAGTTAGGAGGAATGAGAGATCACTAGGAGAAGGAGGATCTTTTATTTGATGCAGTTAAAAAGACATTAATATCTTCCTAATGGCCTGGGTTACTATACTTATTTAAATAACTTAGTTCAAATATGAGTCATGTGACATCAGTTAAAGTATACAATAATGAGTATAATTTGCAGTCCCATGCTGGAGGTATACAAATGGTATAGTTTTGCATTTTTAAAGAATGGAATCAAATTAGACACCTACCAGATTGGATGGAAAATCGTCATTCCTTTATTTAGGGATTTGCCTTCTCTCTTCCTAGGGGTCTGCAAATATTTGGAGGTGTGTTGGTATCCAAAGATGAGGTTTGTGAGGTAAAGATGAACTCTTTTGGTCCCCCTTACCTGAGCCTCTATGGCCATTAGAGGGCGGGTGGCTTCCCCAGCAGCCGCCTCTCCTTCCCACCAGTCTCTTACCTGGTCCCCAAACACACCTGCAAAGCCTCTTTTGGTAGGCCTGGGATCTTCAGTGGAGCCAGCTGGAGAGGATATATTCTTTGATTCTCTCAGTCCTGTGGAAAGCAGTTGCATTAACTTGGTTCACATGCTTTTCCTTCAACCCTTGGAGGCCTCTCCCTTGTTTTCTGTTAACACGCTACTCAGCTCTAGGGAAGAAGGAAAACTTTGTCCTCTACCTTTCTGAGTGCTAGGCCAAAAGTCTGTTACAAAATACAAATTAACAAGATAAAAACATATAATTTTTATTTTAAAATACGAGTTTTACATGAGAGGGGAGACTTCAAAAGGAAATGAAGACCCAAAGAAGCAATTAAACCTGAATTTTTAATGCTAGGTTTGATGAAGGGTTGACATTAACAGGAAAAATGTGACAAGATAACAGAGGATATGAACTGAGTGTAGTAAACTGGGGGAAACAGTTAAGGCCTATTTTCTTGCCTTCCTCTCAGTGTCTTGGCGATGAAGATGTGTAGGGAGGGCACCTCTCACATGAGGGTTTTATGACCTGCTTAAGGGATGGTGAAAAGTCTTTCTTACACATGCAGTTTCTCAAATTACCTCAGCTTAAAATACTCAGTATGTCAAGGTGCTTTATTTTGGTTTAGTGTGTGCAGCCCTGCACCCCCAACACTGCCAAGAACAGTTTTTAATAACCATTTTTCTGGCATGAGACAAGACAGGGCTGCTTATCTTTCATGTTATACAGATCCAGTGGGACTAAGGTGGAGAGTGGTAAGCTATCTCTTTATTCTTGCGGAGTTTATAAAATACATTTTCTGGTTACTCTGTTCTGTCACATTACATAATGCCAATTGAATTCTCACATAATACCATCTGATGGGCTTTGAGACTTTTTAAACAAACAACTTAACCAAGTTAGAGGAATGTAGTGAAAGGAGATGGGGAGCCATACTTTGTCTGGCAAGGGACAAGATAACTTAGTTTACAATTTTGCTTTTCTTTCATACTGAACATACTTTAAAAATGACTTTCTAAATATGAGCAGCCCACTATGTACTTGTCTGTAAAAGCTGTCAGCAGTGAAGGAAAAAGACAAGACAATAGGAGCAGAATCTGGGTGATTGGCTCCCCATGCTGGGTCATTGATGGGGCTGACACACACAGAACATGTTTCATCTTCAAACATGGATTGGTTTGCTAATAAAACTGCATTTGTTGCTGTCAACAGAGAATTGTAAGATAGACAAATCACCAAAATTCTGATTTATTTGAATAAGACATAGATACAGAGAACAATCTACCTGTATATATATTAATATTATGTGTATAGAGATACAGAGTGAAAAAAATGTACAAATCCAATATATCTACTTCAGATATGTAAATACTCATTTAGATATTTTTTATTTGCCTTATCTACAACACCATTTATTACAGAGGTTTAGAATGTGCCTAGACTCTGGTAACCTTCTAGTGTGACTAGATGGGCTGATGATACACTTTATATAAAAATTCCATTTCTAACTTTTTTCTGTTACCTTCGTTTGTTTGTGATTAGATTTCCTCTTTAACACAGTAAGTAAGAGATCTCAACAAAAGTCTCTGTAAATAAAAATTTTAAAATATAAATGTGAAAGATTATTTTTCTGAAAACTTGATGTTATCCTTGGGAGGAATTATAAGTTATTTATTTTCCTTATTGGTGTTAGTTATATTAATTAGTTGTACTGGACTAGCAATGCCAAATGAAAGAGGTTAATTAATTGAATAAGCACTTTTTCATTTCTTTCTGTTTCAGTTGATTTATCTTTAGTGAATAAAGATGAAAACGCCATCTATTTCTTGGGAAATTCTCTTGGCCTTCAGCCAAAAATGGTTAAAACATATCTGGAAGAAGAACTAGATAAGTGGGCCAAAATGTAAGTATTATTTCAAAATCTATCATTTGACATCTCATACAAGAACTTTATTTTTTTTTCCTCCAAATTTTTATTTTAATTCCAGTTAGTTAACATGCTGTGCAATATTGGTTTCTGGAGTAGAATTTAGGGGTTCATCAGCACCCAGTGCTCATCACAAAAATTGCCCTCCCTAATCCCCATCACCATGTTACCCCATCCCCCACCCACTTCCCCTCCAACAACCCTCAGTTTGTTCTCTGTAGTTAAGAGTCTGTTTCTTGGTTTGCTTCTCTTTTTTTCCTCTGATGTCCATTTGTTTTGTTTCTTAAATTCCACATATGAATGAAATTATACGGTATTTCTCTGACTGATTATTTCGCTTAGCATAATATTCTTTAGTTCCATCCACATCATTTCAAATGGCAAGATTTCATTCCTTTTGATGGCTGGGTAATATTCCATTGTGTAATACACACACACACACATCACATCTTCTTTATCCATTCATCAGTCGATGGACATTTGGGCTCTTTCCCTAATTGACTACTGTTGATAAATGCTGCTATAAACAGTTTGCATGTATCCCTTCAAATCATTAATAACTTTAAAAATCACACTAGGTTGTCTGTTATTTGGAAAGGAGTACAGTAGGCTCCTAGAAGTTTAGGACGTAGAGAAACCTTAGGAGTCATGTCATTCAGTGTGTTCTCATTGTATTGACGACATAAGTTAGTGACAGATTCAAGAGTAAAACTTTCAAAGTATTAGAAAAAATAGGTCCCTCCCCCAAGCTGATACATCTAAATCATACATAATCATTTTATTTTATTTAGTGGCTAATAAAGGAGTTAAGATTTAGAATTTAATTCAATGTTTTCATTAGTTGTTCTTGCTAAACTTCATGACACCGATTTTTATAAATAAGAAAATTAAAATAGTTGAGGGGGAGAAAAAGATTAGTGGAGCAGAAGGTACCACCTGTCCTCCCCAAACTGAATGTGTTTATTGAGAAGATGCTCTATTTGGGCTTAACTAAACAGGTTTGCTCCAACCATGCAAGAATCTGAAATCTTAAATCCTTTTTTTTTCTCCATCACTTCAGTTCACTTTTATTCTTCTGCCTAAGAAACTCCCCACATTCCCTGCTTCTCTGTATGCCTGCAGACCATCCCTAATCCCAACCTTTTCAACCCTGCTGGTGGTCTCTCCCCAGCTGCCCATTGTATTAATAATCACTGCTGGGGGATAGGCAGTTTAGAGGTATCTGTTTTCATTAGCTTCATATTCTCAACCATATTATAAATCCCTTTAGGAAAATAACTTAATTTTATGTGCTTTTATCATTCCTCAGTAGTTACTAATAACTCTGGAACTAGAAATATTTAAGAAAAACTTTTAACTATTAAAAATTATTTTATTTAAAATATTAAAAATAAGACACATGAAAACGTGCTCAACATCCCTAATCATCAGGGAAATGCACATCAAAACCACAGTGAGAGATTATCTCATACCTATCAGAATGGCTAAAATAAAAAACACAAGAAATAACAAGTGTTGGCAAGAATGTGGAGAGAAAGGACCGCTGTGTAACTGATGTTGGGAATGCAAACTGTTGCAGCTTCTGTGGAAAACAGTATGTACGTTCCCCAAGAAATTAAAAATAGAGCTACCGTGTGATCTAGCAGTTCCACTCTTGGATACTTGCCCAGACAAAACACAAGCACTAATTCAAAAAGGTGTATGCACACCTGTGTTTATTGCAGCATGTTGTACAATAGCCAAGATACAGAAGCAACCCACGTGTCCATCCACAGATCAATAGAGAAGATGTGGGGTGTATATATATATATATATATATATATATATATATATATATATACACATATATAGATATAGATATATATATGCACATGTATTACTCAGCCATAAAAAAGAATGGGATCTTGCCATCTGCAACAACATGGATGGATCTAGATAGTGTAATGCTAAGTGAGATAAGTCAGTCAGAGGAAGATAAATACCATGATTCCACTCATTTCTGGAACTTAAGAAACAAAACAAATGGACAAAGAGAAAAAAAAGGAGGGAAAAAAAAAAAAAGATTCAACTAAAGAGAACAACACACTGATGGCTACCAGAGGGGAGGTGGTAGGGGATGGGCGAAAAAGGTGAAGGGGATTAAGAGCACATTACATGATGAGTACAGAGTAATGCATAGAACTGTTGCATCACTATAGTGTACACCTGAACTCTATATGTTCATTTTGCTTGAATTTTTAAAAAAAGAAAAATAAACTAAAAATGAGTAGAAATAGTTTAAAAATATGTCCTGAATATTAAAATCTGAAAATAGACACAAGGAGGAAGCCAAACCCGAAGGTCAGAAAAAAATGAATGAAGGAAAATGAAACCAAATCAGATAAGAACTCTGACCAAGACATTTGGCTCTTATTCAAACTCCAAATGTCTTCTAATTCTTCAGTTTTCATGCCTCTGGTCTTTCATATTGGGAACAGTACCTCTTTTTAAGGTTTATTTTACACTGACTGTGCTAATGATTACTACCACAGGCATTAGATTACACTGCAAAGTTCTTAATTTCAGTGGTTGAGAATATAAATTTGTACCTCAATGCAAAAATCATAGAGGTTTATATAATTTATTAAGCCTGTTATAACTGTATCTGCATAACTTGTATGCATAAATTGAAAAATAAATATCACCACATTTGGAAGCATTTTGCACTAGCAGGTTTTAGTACTTAAAAAATGAGGGTCATACTTAATAAAAATGGTTAATATTCATTTTTGGCCTTAATATAAAAGAGAGCAGAGAATTAGATTGAATTTGAACTTTAGAATGTGTCCTAGCCTTTTGGATATTTATTCAGGAAGGCGGTGCATTTTTATCCTTTAGGCATTTAAAAAAGATGCTGCCCTGCGATCTTATTCATCTGCTTGTGATTACCTTGGTTTATTAGACTGGTTGATTATTTTTGAGACTTTAAAGTTATATTCCAGAAGAGTGCCTCTCTATCATACACCCTTCTATTGTTGTTAACTTCCAATTTTACATTTTACCTTGTGACAATAGAAAATTAGAGAATCTTAATGCCTTCTACTGATTTTTCATTAGACAGATGATTCAGTAAAGAGGTGCATATTAATGCTTCAGGCAGTGTAAACTACATTTAAAAGACTCTGAGAAAAAGATCGGGGAGCTTCTAGTTAGTTTTATTTTGTCTTTGCTTAGTTTTATTTAGTCTTCTTGCTTTCAGTGGTGGTGGGCCCAGTCAGTGTCACACCCACTGTCTCCCTGTTGATGTCGGTGGTGTTCAAGGGGCAAGGTCAGAATCATGTGGCTCTATCCCACTGTCCATCTTTGATCTCAAAAGTGTTTGTTCATTATTTCTTTGGTCCTAAGTTGTTAGCTTAAAATTTTTCTCTGGCCTTTTCCAGCTAAGGTTCTGTTGGGAGGAAAACTTCTTCTATCAGTTTACGTCCTATTCGTTGAGGGCCTGTGGATTCACTGATAAGAGATAGCTAACCCAAGTTTCTTTCATGGGCATGCAGAAGTACTCTACAAAAAAATGATTCACTCAATAACTTCGGGTAAGGGTTTATATACCAGTTTAAACAAAGGGGGCGGTTTTAGGGCTTCAGTAAGAAGTATAGAAAGCTTTATTGGGCCTGTTCATTCTGATAATAATGGGCATATCTTTCCTGGCTGGAAGCCCCCAAGAGGGATATGGGTGGCATCTGAATTTGCACCTCCTGGTGTTGAGTCATTTTCCATCTGTGAGTGGGCTAATGGCAGCTATATTTTCAGAAGAGTCTTCTTAAGTCAAGGAGTGTTTCTTTCTTAGGCCGCTGGCCGTTCATATGCTTTTAGTTTAAAGTAATAATCTTGCCACTGTGGAAGGGCTGTTGGTCCCTTGACTTCCCTTTCTGAATATTGCTTTTGTTTTTGTGCTAAATATCCTCACACATGTTTGGTATGCTTCTAGATCCAGGGCCTCCCATTACTGTGGTGAGTGTTCCTGATTACCTGTCCTCTTCACCTTCTCCAGCCCCATGTCTGCCCTACCTCTTAGCTAATAACCAAATCAGGCCAGTGCCTTTCTCTCTTCTTGACCAGTGGAAGATTTTGAGAAGGACTGAGTCAAAGAGAGCTACACAGTTACTAAATACACTAATGGAAACTGAAATTAATTGCTTAACAGGAAAAAAATATTAGAAATTATAATCTTGACAGTAACATAAAAATCAGAGTGTCCTTTGACTAAGTGAGATATTTTTCTGGGATATTGATAACAAGTCTGGCTGGCCATCCAACCATATAAGGTAAGAAGTACCATTTGGCTCATGGCTGTTAATGTTCTTGTCTCTATCTTTTATGTCCTATCACAGCCATACTACCTACCTATCTATAAAATAAACTGTTACTGACCATAGGGTAGCCTGATTTTATAATTCATACAGCTACCAATTTTGATTACTTACGCTAGAGGAAAGTCAAGAACAGAGGCATACTTAGAAATATTTTTGTTGCTTTATGATTTCTTCTAAAACTTTTTAACTTATTTAAGACAAAGCAATGAAAATAAAGCACTTCTGTGGGTTTTTAAATGCTTATTATTGTTATCTTGCAACTGTGTGGTTTCTTAAGTAGATTACTTCACTTGGAAGAATTAAATTTGTGCAATAACAATATTTTGATTTTTTGACATTCTGAAATAGAAAAATTTCATGGTGATTTGACTCATTTGATATAAAATAGTTAATTACCATCCAAATGAGGTTATAACAGTAAGAAATAGCATTAATAGGGGTCTGTGAGTTTGCCAGAATTTTTTTAGAACATTTAATACTACATATTTATATATTATGGATTTATTAGTGGCCCAGATTATTTAAAGAAAAATAACATGGACTAATAATCACAGTGGGAAAGATGAGCTAGAAGAGGAAGATACCTCCATTCTGAAGAGCACATTGTAAGTTGAGAAACGTATATTATGTCCCTAAGATAAAACCGCAGTATTTTAGGTCTTCTGCGTTGTCTTATCTATTTGATAAATGGTTTTCTTTCGGTTTTCTTTCTTTTCATAGGAGCAAAAACTTGACCCAGTTGTGTCTTTATAGGGATGCTTCTAAGTCCTATGTGACTTTAGGTAGGCTTACTTAATAAGAAAATAGCCCTCTGAATTACATGTTAGGAACAAACTGCGCGGTTAGCGGGCAATGATTGACTTGGATGGCAGTGTGTGTGTGGGCAGGCATGCTCTTGAGACACCGCCGTCTCATTCAGTTCATGTTTTTCTTTAAAAAAAAAGTGTATTCTGGGGAGAAAAAATGCTCCCTCTACCCCCCCCAATTCAACAACTGACCTATAAAATAAACTGACAAGACATAGATTAATAAGAATTAATAATTACTCCATATTAATTATTAATATTATGAGCACGAGGGCTTCCTGGGTGGGGGGGAGTGATTACCAAAAAAAAAGAAATCCATGAGATTTGAGAATTTACATGTCCTATTGATAGGGGTAGGGGAGGAGGATATAGGCCACTTTAAGAGGAGAATAAATGATTTTTAGAAAGGGTGAAAGGCACTTAGAAGATGTGATGGTTTGTGACAAAATCTTCTGGGTGTGGTCTCGACTCTGGGCTCCTCTCTGGGGACAGGAGTCAATCTTCTGTGGTTGACGAAAATTGCTGAGGGAGGGATTGATGGTAGTTGAGTTCCTTTGGAGGACCCGTCTTTAGGCAGATGGGGAAGTTCTGAGGAAACATCCCTACACGTGCTGTTTTTCAGATGCATTCAGCTCAAGATAATCTTTATGTTAAAGAGGCAAATTTTGCTGCACTGCCCTTCAGTATGAATAAGAAAGTATGACATGTTAAACAAAGATTTTCCTACCTCTAGAGATGTAGAAAAATGTAGGTGGCTAATCACCAATTAGGTCACAGATTAAAAAAAAAAAAAAGTGGTGGTCTTAAGGATTCTGTGATGTCTTATTTGTTTCCTTATGGGTGGGGGGCAAGGAGGAAGAAGCTTTTAAAAGCCTGGCTACTACTTATTTTGTAGGATGGTTAAAGCAGGGTCCTCTTTCAAAGAGGATCCTCTATTAACTTCCTAATTTGATTTTACATCCTGAAATCTAATTTCGTGAGCAGATAGCCCTCCCTAGACATCTCAGAGAACACCCCAGTTGGGGGAATGATTAATGCCATAGCCATGAGGAAACTGTCTGCCAGGCTCTTTTCCTTTGCAGCACTGGAAAAGAAGTTTGCAACTACTACATTGCAAGTATGTTGGGCAGTTTTGAATGAGAGCAATGTAATCTTTCTTTACTCTGATACCTATGTTTAAAACTGCACTGCAATCTACATTAAGCCTTTATAAAGACAGGCCACTTTAGTTGGAGTTTATTGGGGTAACAACTTCCTAAATACATTTCACTACCCTAGGCTTAGTAGACTGACAAAAAGGAAAGAAGCAGACTGTGTGTGTGTGTGTGATATTTTAAAGGTGGGGGGAGATGCCAGAATTGCAGGAAGAAACATACTCTTAAAGATTATTACCATGGTGTCTACCAGAGTAAGAAGTAGGTGGCCTGCTAGTCTGAGACATAAATTCTCTGAGGCAGAACATAGAATTTTACTACCTAAATGTAATAAGATGTATTGTGCTATCAGCAAGGCCAGGAGCTCTGTGTGATTAAAATAAAAAAGGATCCAAGTATCTGCCTTTAACTACCATTTAATGATAATGATTTTTGTCTTTAGCATTTATATTGGAAGTCAAGAAAGAGGCAAGCTGCAGGCTATCTAATAATAATATGAATAATAATCACTGGCAATTGCCCTTCTCTTCCTCCTTAGTTCTTATAGTCTCTGCTTATTCACAGAGAGAGTCCTTTTCCTTCATCTCAGTTTATACGGTAATCAAAATATTAGTTTAAAAATTGCATTGTACCCCACATGCCCATGCTGTAGATTTACCTTAGGGCAGAGTCAGAAAGGGGTGCTATGGGCCAATCTCTTTTACATGTTATCTTATTTTTCACATTCATCCTTTCAGGTACATATTGCAACCCCTTTACTTTTACTTTTACAGGCTTTATCAGCTTATAATACATGTAGTCTCATAACCAGTGGTGACCTGGAATTGGCTCAGACCAGCAATGAAAGCCAGTCATTAAATATTGAGGATTTTAGTTAATGCCAGGAAATGGACCACAGGGGATATTCACATCATGAAAATCAACAAAGGCTAAAAACAGGGCTCCATTCGTCCTATTACCCCACTACTCTCTTGGGGAGAAAAAATTATTTTCCCCAGACCAGACCCTTCTGAGTTCTTAGCTGAGACCCTTGTAATAAAAGACAGCTTAGCAGGAGGGGAAAAAACGCACAAGTTACTAGGATGCATAGCCCTTGTACACGTGGGAGACAAAACATGGGGGAGAAAGGACCCCTGCCCACCCCCGCAATGATGACTTAGAATTCAGGCTTAAATCCTATCTGAATAAGGAAAGGAGAGGAGGATGTAGGCCACTTAGGGGAGAACATGTGATTTTTAGGAAAGGTGACAGAGCCCTTAGAAGAATAGATAAAAGATAGGATAGGTTGTAACAAAGCCAGTCTAAGTGTGATGTTGACTTCTGGTCTCTTCTCCTTTGACAAGACTCAATCTTCCCTGGTTGATGAAACTCCTGGAGAGGTGATTTTATGGCTACTGAGTTCCTTTTAAAAAATCTCTCTTCAAGCGGATAGGGGAGTTCAGAGAGACCCTCTCACTGCACTTGCTGTTTTTCAAGTGCCTATAACTCAAGATAATCAGTCTACCACACCGACATATTTTGGGGTGACATTCTGCTACCCTTCACCTCTGAGAGCAAGTTTACCACTCACTCCTGCCAGCTTACTGAATTTCAGAGTATAGATTAAAGCACAGTTTGCACTATGCAGAAAATACAGGCTCATTCCTTTCTCCAGCTTCAGGGGGTTTTTGAATTCTGGGGAATTAAGAATTCTGGGATTCCTGCCACAAGTGTGCCCCTGCACATTTAGTCCCTCCCACCTTGATTCTTTGTTTCAGTTTCTTCTTCTATATTTCAAATGTATTTCCTTCCTCATTTAATGAAAACTTCTTGAGAATGGAAATTCTCTTACTTATTCTGTGTTTTGCCATTTATGCCTGCCAGGATACTTACTAGAATAATAAAATTGAGCTAGAATATGGTAGATGAAATTGCCAGAAAATAGGTAAAGATGTAATGTTGGCTTTGATTATTGCCAAGTTTATTTGTCTACTTAAAATGTCATCACAAATACAGTCACATTTTATACACTTTGATTTGGTGTACAGATTATAACTATATTTAAAAATTGAATTTATAAGCATTTTAATTTCTAGCCTCAAAGAATAGTAGCTATGTTTTACTATAGATACTACTGTGAGCTACAGGTATACAAGTATAATGTTCAAAAAGTCTTAATTTTCAAAATAAAGAAGAAAAAAATAACATCTTAGGTTCTAAAATAGAGATAAAGAAAAATAAAGAAGTAGGCAGTCTCTGTTACCCTCTGAACAAAAAGGAAATTAGAGAAATTAAGTAATGACAAGTTAAAAAGATAGAATCCTGAAGTATTACTTTTGGTTCTAAAGAAGCATGATTTTATATAATTACTAAAACATTACAAAGACTCATTTAGAAATGTCTAGTTGCTAATGCTGATGTATGAAAAATTACACACACACACACACACACACACACACACACACACACACACCTAATAGAGTTTATGCCCCTTTTCAATTTCAGGGGAGCTTATGGTCATGACCTAGGAAAACGTCCTTGGATTACAGGAGATGAGACTATTGTAGGCCTTATGAATGACATTGTAGGTAAGTACAAAATGGATTTTTCTCAAAGGAATCATAAAAGTATTATCATTTAGATATAAACCTGGATTATAAAGTCAAAATCTTATTGAAGAACATCCTGGTTTTCTATTTTTACCTGTAAAGAAAGAATGAACATACTATTAATTGAGACTTGAAGACTATAGGGAACCTAACTGGCTTATTTGGCATAAAAATAAAATATTTAATTATGTTTTCTTGCATATTTTAAAACTAATATGTAGTCCCCAATAAAGAGCACATGTATTGTGTTTATTTATAATTAAACTGATTTTTTTTAGGATTTTTTATTTATATTTTTGACCGAGATCACAAGTAGGCAGAGAGGCGGGGGGGGAGCGTGGGGGGGTGGGAAGCAGGCTTCCCACTGAGCAGAGAGTCCCACGAAAGCTGATCCCAGGACCCTGAGATCATGACCCAAGCCGAAGGCAGAGGCTTAACCCTCTGAGCCACCCAGGCACCCCAAACTGATTTTTTAAAAATCAACTTAAATGAATTTTATAACATTTCATTATATGATAAACACTAATCTTTACGTGCTAAAATCCTAAAACACCAATCAGGTTTTGGCTCATTTCAATGTAATCCATAGTGACTAATTCTAAAATTAAGCTGAGAATTGTTGGAAATAATATGGTTTTTTATATTCTTTGGTTTATAATGTGTTTTCCAAAGTGAGTTATATATACTCTAGGTAGAATTTAAGATAGTTTTAGATGGCAAACGTGTTAACACTTAAAAAAGAAAAGTAACTTAATTGGGTTGAATATTGAGGTTTGCTTGAAATCTTACATGATATTCAAGGTATTGAAAAAAATTAATGATATTTCAGCAGTTGGAGTGGGGTCTGTTTAGAGGACTTTGGGAAATCCCAACTTTCATAATGCTTTTTCAAACCTCAATCCTTTATTGCTTCATCCCAATTGCATCTTGGTCAGAAGACAGTAATCAACGTGAGCTGGGAGAAAGTGGAATTAGAGTGAGGACAGTAGGACTTATATCCAGAAAGAGTTAGAGTAACAACATGAAACCATGAAACATGAAACCATGACAAACCATGAAAACCTGAGAAATACCTCGTTTATTCAGAAATGATTTTTGAACTTCTGCTGTATGTCAGGACTTGTGGTGTAGGCCCCGAGGATAAAATGGTGAGTAAGTAAAATAGTAAGAATCCTCATCGTCTTTATCCCATGGGATATCCTCATGGTACTCCCATACATACATGTAAAATTAATATATACATATAATCGTATAACACAGAGAAATTAAAAAGAAATCATTGGCATTAGTGCTTCAAAAGAGGGAATGGTGGAGGGGACTGAATATAAGCATTTAAGTACTCTATATTTTTTTTCCCTGAATTCTCACTAAACAACTCTTACTGTATTTAAAAAAAAAAAAAAAAGCATAAATCCCAAAGAACAAATAGAACAAAGTAGATGATGGGAGCATTTTGGGAGTTTGATAACAAGTGGTTAAGTGGTAACTGCTTTTGTGGGGGAAAAAAAAAAAAAAAATCAAATCTTTATCTCCCAATGGAAAGAAAATGGAAAGCCACCCACTTTACACCACAGAACCTTCAAAAATCTGGAAATTACAATAAGCTTCTCTAGAAGTGGGAGTAAAATAGGAATAAAAAGAGAGATGTGTTGAAAGTCTGTTTAAAATTCAGATAGAATACCAGCTCCCTTTGCCCATTTTATGCTGCCAGGTGAATCTTTCTCCCCAGATGACTGGGTGAGTCCCTGGAGAAGGGAGATGAAGGCTCTCAAGGGAGGATATGTGTACTATATTAGTCTGCTCAGGCTGTCATAACCAAATACCACAGACTGGGTGGTTTCAACAACAGACGTTTGTTCGCAGTTCTGGATGGAGGCCAGAAATCAGAGATCCGAGGGTTGGTTAGTGGTTGGACACTGTTCCTGGGTTGTACATGGTTGCTTTCTGTGTCATCACCTGACCTTTCCTCTGTTCACACTCAGAGACAAAGAGAACTGTGGTGTCTCTCTTTTTACAAAGACACCAGTCCTGTTGGATTAAGACCTCTCAACCTTAAAACTTCAATTAACCTTTATTGCCTCCTATAGGGCCTATCTCCAAATACAGTCGCATTGGGGTTGGGATTTTAACATATGAATTTCAGCAGGACCCAGTTTAGTCTATACCATATTCCTTGGTGAAAAAAAATGTCTGTTTTGTTCTTTACAATTCACGTTTTATCAGGAGAAATATTTCTATTATTTTTTTGTTGACCAAAGGAATGTGAATTGACCCTCTACAAAGTGTATTAGAAACAATATTTTAAAAAACTTGATACTTAGTAACTATTATCTCTTGTTTCTTTACTTTGTAAATTGTGTGTATTAGAGAAATGATTCTTTTTTTTTTTAAGATTTTATTTATTTATTTGAGAGAGAGCATGAGAAGAGGGAGGGTCAGAGGGAGAAGCAGACTCCTTGTGGAGCAGGGAGCATTATGTGGGACACGAGCCCAGGACTCCAGGATCATGACCTGAGCCGAAGGCAGTCGCTTAACCAACTGAGCCACCCAGGCACCCAAGAAATGATTCTTAAGATGAAAAATGAGAAGTTCACCCTATTTGTTTTATTAGGAATAGATTATTTTAGAAAGTTTTTTTAAATATATTTGTGTTTAGATTATCTTATTTGTTGCAAATCCTACCAGTTTCCCTTTTTGCCTGGGTCACTAGGAAATTTTGAGATAATTTGATTAAATTAAAAGTAGCAAAGTTTCTGTTTCTCATCTGCATACATTGTACTCTTTTGGTTTTTTATTCATCATTCTTCCTCAGTTTGTAACCCAAGAAACCTCAAATCCTGTTTGGAAGTGGAAGCTGCATAAATCTTGAAATAATTAAAATAATTGTGTGACAAGTACTGTAAAAACCAGCAGAAGTCAAATTTATTTTTGCTACCTATAAGCTACACAGATGTGTCATGAGCAAACAGACACATTGTACATTTGGGGCAATGATCGACTCTTCCAGGTTCTTAAAACCATAGTCTTTATTTCAGCATAAAATTTCCCAAAAACAAGTAACAGGAGGATAATAAAAATTACTGTGTATACGAATTGATAGACTGGATAGAGAGGAGGAGGAGACAATGAGCAATTGTATTTTTTCATAGACATAGAAAATAACTTCAATTTTGGATGAGAAAGAAAACTGTTAATAAAACATTTTATATAGCGCCAACAATTCTGCAAAACATGGAATAAGTTTCCCTTATAATTAATGTCATATTATCAAGATGCTAGAAATAGAATTGCTGAAGAATGTTATTAGTATTATTATTAGGCCTACTTCTCCCTGGGTACATAAAAATCATAAAGGGCTAGATACATGCATTTCAGCTTATAAAAATGTTGTAATGTGGACATAAATTTGCTTTATGAAACTTGGGGTTGACCCTCCGAGAAGCAATAATCCCTAGAAGCTGTCTCCAGTAAACAAACCTTCATGCATAGCCACTTCTGGAGGACACGGGAATTTACAACTTGAAAGAGTGGAAAGTTCTCAGACTTAGCCTGATTATAACCTTATAAGCAAATCCACAGTAACATTTGCATCTGCTTAATCAGTTAGACAGAACATGGATGGCGGTTCGGAGATCATCATGAATCCTCTTACTGAACACTAAGCAGCTTGGGGCCTTGTCATCTCTTGGCAAAATTTTTGAAATTAAATTAAAATTAGATGCAGAGGAATGTTGGTAATGAACATGGGCCTCCTGTATTTGATTTACAGGGAGTGGATAATGTAGACAACGCTTCTCAGTATAATCTGGAACAAAGGTTTTAATCTTTTTTTTTCCTAAGAGAGAGTTAAGATCTTGTCTTATTTCCTATCTATGAGACTTGAGGTAAGTTAGTTCATCTCTTTGGATGCCAGTTTCCTCACTGATAAATATGGACAATTAAAGTAGATTAAGTTATTGTGTGGCTGTGAAGAAGATGTGAAAAAAATACAAGTAACATATTTAGAAGTCTTGGCACATAGTAATGACTCAGTAAACATCTGCGTGCCAGGCATTGAGGTAAGAAGGTCCTACTTGTATTTAACTAAGTCACACCTTGTGGTAAAGCAAAAAAATCTGTTCAATAAATAAACAAGCAGGAAGGCACTCTACAGATGAGAACCCTGGCTCATACCCATCTTGGATGAAGTGATTCACATCTTGACATTTACTGCAGTGAATTGTAGATGATCTTCTAAAGTAAAGACTCTTCAAATCTTGATAAGCTTTCAGGAAGTTTTTAAAAATTTTTGCCCTGCGATACTTGTAGTTCTCAATGTTTCAACAGTAATTCAAAAAAAAAAAACAAACAAACAAACAAACAAACAAAAAAACAAAAAACCTCTTAGGAAAGTAACTTGGAAGAATTTGTTTGCTTAATTTCTTTTTTATTTTCTTATGGGATGCTGATGATACTGAAATCTCTTACAAGAACAGCTCTTGGTTTCAGAAATGCAATTTGTACCAAAAGAGATAGTTCAAATAGATAAATTTTCCTTTAGAAATATGCTAAAAATCAGTTTGATGGGTGGTGTTTTGGTGTTAGGAACCCTTGATTCTTTAGTGTCCATAGGTTATATTTGAAATAAACATTTGCATTAATGTCCTGAAACTTTAATATTTGCATCGTCCTCAGATAGAGCTGTGTACATATGCACACACATTAAATAGACTGACCATCTCCTTCACAAAGTTCAGTTGCAAGTGAGGTGAGCGTTTCGTGAAGTGCTTGGTTGAATTTGGAGTGTTCTAAGATGAGATCATTTTTGTGCATGGTAGCAGACAAATTATTCAAGTCAGCGAGGGATTATTTACAAAGAATTGATCTGAGTGTTAGTATGCCACTGAAAGTGAGGGAGTAGGTAGCACAGGGTCAAGTGTATGTCTACCTTAATTGAGCCTAGCACATCTGGTTCATTACATTCTTTGATCCAAAATGAAGAGTGTATTGTTTGGAGGACTAAAATTTTCAAGGAATGTGAAATTATTTGAGTCAGATGCAGTTGTAAAGCAAAAAACAGGATGTCCAGCCTCCATTACAAACTTTCCTTCCCTTCCTGCCTCTCCGAGTTCTTTGTTTTCATTTGGGGGTAACTCATGTATGAATTCTTCTTTCTTCTCATTACATTCCTTCAAATGCTTCTCTTTCTATGAATTCTGCTCTCTTTATAAAATTGGTTTTCCTTCCTTTTCTCCTTTCACTTTCTCTGCCAAAATATTTTTTGGAATAAGTGGTTCTCAGAAAAGATGCACGTGGAGAGCTAACGAATTTAAGGGTGATATTAGATTAGATATCTTAGATAATGCTTCATTTTAGAGATAACAGGATAAATTCATACCATAATGCAAAGAAATAAATATAGTAAAGCTGGCAGCATTTCTTCTACATGTTTCCAAAAGATTTTCATATTGTAGGAGAAGACATATGCCACTGTATGCAACATAAGGTTATCATATTCCTATCTCTTGTATGTCTAGGACAAAGTTTATTTAGTGCTAGGAATATAGGATGAGCTTGGTCTCACTGTGCCTTGACTTCAGACACTGTTCACCTTACAAGGACCAGAGATACAGCCTCTAACTGATTGTTTACTAACATTGCACGTCAAATGGGGAAATCCATCTGTTAAATGCAATCCGAAGTTTTTCTCGACTAGATGGCTATGTTGAAATAGAAATTCCTAAGTTATACACTTATCTGCAGTGGCCTGCCCTCAAGTGGACTTACCCTGAAATCTCCCTGTATATTAGATTAATCATTTTACTTGCTATCTCTTCCTCTAAAATGGAACTCTTAAGAGAAGTATCTCTTTGGATGTGAAATACAGGACTTGTATTACACATTTTCCCTAACGCCTCGCATAGTTTTACAAACAATGGCACAAAACCTTTTTTTTTTTTAAAGATTTTATTTATTTATTTGATAGATCACAAGCAGGCAGAGAGGCAGGCAGAGAGAGAGGAGGAAGCAGGCTCCCTGCTGAGCAGAGAGTCCGATGCGGGGCTCGATCCCAGGACTCCGAGATCATGACCTGAGCCGAAGGCAGCGGCTTAACCCACTGAGCCACCCAGGCGCCCCTCACAAAACCTATTTTTGTCAGTGATAGTTAAAGAGATTTTCCTATTATACAGGTCTAAATGCTTTTGCGAGACATTGTAAGAACTAAAAATATGAAAGTATTGTTGTTGTTAAACTCTGAGTTCTTAAGTATCCAGTGTATGCTTTGTCTTTGGGTCTATTTCTAGTATGCAAGCCCTCATTACTAAGAATTAGATCAGATTACGATTGTGTAGAGGATATCTTAATTTTGCATGTGTTCCCCATCAGATAATACCTATCTGTATTAATTATCTTGCATCTCAGTGTGTATGAATAAATCCCAGAGCTATTTAGGTCTTTGTGTTTTGCTTTCTAGCTCTTTTGTCTTACAAACGATTATATATCTCACTGTAATAACAGTGAAGTATGTTTGGCAAACTAGCTCTCTTATTAAAGGTGCATTTTAATTGGGTATTAGAAACAACTAGCTTTAAAAATGTGATTGTCCCTGCTTTCTTTTGAGATACATTTACCAAAAAAATGTACTCTATGGGAATTTGGAAAACTACCTGATAATAGGAGAAATCATTTTTATTTTATAGGAAAAAGCAAATGTGTCATTATTTTGTTGCTATTATTTACTATATCAAAAAGTAAATATGATTTTAGCCAGCTGTGTGCATGTGAGTCCAGATATCGTTTGATAAAATGAGTCAAGTGGGAAAACTTCCATTTCTTTGAATGACACATCAAATATGTCCTTATCTCTAAAAGCATTAAGGATGAAGGAGTGAAGCCACCCTACTTTGTTTTTCCAAGTAACTTCAGCACTAATAGAAAAATCTAAATTATGATGTGTTTACTTTGCAGGAGCCAATGAGAAAGAAATTGCCCTAATGAATGGTTTGACTGTTAATTTACATCTTCTACTGGTAAGTATCCTTTCCCACCAATGTTTAGTATACCCTCATTTGTAGAATCTGACATTTTTCTATCTTTAATTCATGAGCATCTGGTGGTTTACTTATTTAAAAATAAGTTGTGAGGTTATTTTCATTTTTACCAGGAAAGGCTGGACTATGATGGAAGGGCTTCTTCATAATCATGGGAGAGTTGACTCTTGCAAAGAGAGTTAGAATAATGAACAGTTCTTATCTCAGAATACAAGGAATAAAAGTCACAGTGGGTTAAAAGCAAAACTGCTTGCCAGCACACAAAATGATGTACAAATGCCAGCAAACACTGAGCTCTTCGGAAAGATAGTTTGCCAGTATGCTGGACTTCAGCAGGGTTGGATTCTGGATCAGTTATATTTTTATAGACAAATTTTGGGGGAATAGGTTAAGAAAGATTTAGAATATAGAATGAAATTGGAGAAAAGGGATCTAATACCTTAAAAGAGTTACTGTATTTCAAGTGCTTCCTACTTCCTAAGTACTTAATAAATATGTATACCTTAAAATGTCAAATATATACTTGATTTGGAATATGGTGTCTATAGTAACCGCTTGAGGCTTTGAAAAAATTTTATTTCATTTTTAAGTGAGTTTTTGGAAACATGTCTATGTGACCAAAGCACACAATGAATATATTAATATTTTATTTTAATAAAAATGAAGACATGATTGTTAAATATCCCTAAGGGAACACGTTCACAGAGTATGTTAATCATGATGGTAAATAGCATAGTTTTAAGTTCAGATACCTCGGGGTTTGATTCCTAGCTAAGTTACTTCACATCTGACTTTGGACACAGTTTTGGTGATTTCTATGTCTTCATTTTCTCCGTTATGAAAATGAAGACAAAAATACATACCTACCTGAGGTGCCTCTGGGTGGCTCAGTAGATTAAGCCTCTGCTTTCGGCTCAGGCCTTGATCTCAGAGTCCTGGGTTCGAGCCCTGCATCAGGCTCTCTGCTCAGCAGGGATCCTGCTTCCCCCTCTCTCTCTGCCTGCCTACTTGTGATCTCTCTCTCTCTGTCAAATAAATAAATAAAATCTTAAAAAAAAATGCCTACCTGCTACACATATAAAAGGGTGAAATGTGGTAATATGTGAAAATTGCTTCAGCACGTTGGCCAGTGATCAACACTAAGTCAACAGTAGCAATCATTTCATTGTTACTGTTGGCAGGCAGTGTTTATTATCTAGGAACTGTGGGGGGAAAGGAAGGGCTCCCTTGAACAAATGAGCTATTTCTCCCTGGTGCCTCTAGAAATGTCAAATGTTTCATGTTAGGGCTGAGGCCCTTCCAGTTAGACCTAAGATAAAATCCTATAAAGTAATAACGCAGTGGAAATATTATGTACCAGAAACCAAATCGGCAGCATAAGATGAATCACCATAAATAAAATAAAATTTACATAGAACATGGTATTCGGTCTTACAATAGAGAAATTACCACTAAAGGCATTGGAAAGGTAATTTTTCAATTAAAATTTAAGTAAAGTTTGAGAATTTGTTTTTGTCTCATGTAGTCTCTGACATTTGCTTTTCTATTGGTAAATATAATGAGCCAGTCCCTTCTTTTATTTTATAATTCACTAGAAATAAGGCTAATTGGGAAAGGAACCCTTGACAGACATCTAGATGTGTCGTTGAGTCAGGCCTTTAAAATGCCAGGATTATAAAATGGAAGTATGGTATAAACTGAACAAATGTATAAATTGTACATTAATGGTTTTCTCAATAAATCCATTTCATTGCAGTTATCCTTTTTTAAGCCTACGCCAAAACGCTATAAAATTCTTCTGGAAGCCAAAGCCTTCCCTTCAGATCATGTAAGGATTCTTCCAATTATATTTGTATTCTTTCTATTCTTCCTAGAGAGCACACCACTTGCCTGTGTTGAACAGTTTATTCTCCAGTCTTTTTCCAAGTAACCTTACAAGAAAAAGATCTGTCAAATGCTTTTGATTAGGTGTTTTTAAAATATAGATTGTAGCTTTATTTTTTTTTTGTCCAAGTAAAACATGTGTTAGGGGAGGAAAGGATAGAATGGGAGCATTGATTTATTAGTCTTTTTAAAAACATTGAGCGAGCTGCTGGTTTAAATCAAGTGCAGTTATAAATGCTTTATTAATTCTTGTTGCTGTTTTACTTTATGAAGTCAAATCAATACATACCCTAGTGCTTAACCCTTTAGCTATATAGAATAAGAATAAAACTTTAATTTGTCCATAGCATGCTAGCATAATTATTGGTGCTTTATTATTGAAAAAAACATTGATTAAGGATTAAAAATATTTCTTGCGATTCATTGTCTTGCTTCTTTAAGAAACTTGATCATTCCAGACATAGACATGGATAAAATTGCTTATTTCATTTTTAGTGTTAGAGAGAAATTTGATTTCTGTCTATTATCACTGTTAACTGTTAAACTCGACATCATTTAATTGTGTCCAAATCAATAGCCATTACTTTACTGAAAAGGATCAAAACCCTGATGTTGAGAGAGAATTCAGGGTCCCTAAATTTCTTGTTCCCATTCATATCTTGTACTGTTAGTGAAGGGAACTTTCTGATGTTCTTTCCTTTTACTAGCTTACTCTTTTGGGGATAAGCCTTTCCTATAAGCTAGTTCAAATGTAACAAGTCCACACTACTCACTCTGGTTATTTTGTAAACTCCAGTTTTGACTTAAATTAGGAGATTTAATATCTTCTACAGATCTCTTAGAACTCCCTGAAGCCTAGATGGCCCCTGTGCTTCCATCCAATTTCTAAGATACAATGTTTCAAGGAATGTTCTGATTCCTGCATATAAATTAAATTAAGCAGTTTTTTTCTGGTGTATTCTTTTCAGTCACTTTTAACCTTGACTTTAGATTTAATACAATAATATGCTTTTATTGTTATTTTATTATCTCTTTCAGAGTTACTTCAATGTACTTCTGTGCATTGGACTTGACTTAATAAATCATTCTTCTTTTCCAGTACGCTATTGAGTCACAGCTTCAACTTCATGGACTTAACACTGAGAAAAGTATGAGGATTATAAAGCCAAGAGAGGTATATGAGAAAGAGAAATAAATATTCATTCTGTTTCTATTTAGTATTGATTTTTTTCTTCATTTTCCTCAGAAGTTTATTATCCCCATTACTTTAATGGAACTTTCAAGAACGTATAAAAGACGTATACTTGTATTACTGCTAGCTCATTTTGCTTAAAATGGAGAATTAACTTGGAAGTATATGTATTTTCATTTTTCGAGGGGTTGTCAGAAGCAAACTATTTTCGTGTGAATACCACTGGAGTTTGCCATATTCTTTAGTGGGATGGAAAGGGATGGTAAATTGCCTATGTCATGTTCAATTTCAAATACCATTGCCTTTGGATACCTTTAAAATGATATTTGTTGAAATTGAATGATGCCTATCTTTTATATCTTTTTTTAATCTAAGTATCAAATATTTTCCTTTGTACTTGGATGGGGTGGGGGTGTGGAAAGGGATGCAGTGTAGCAGAAAGAGCTTGGGCTTTCTGGCATGGCTATTAGACCCCACAGAAGTCCCAGGCTCAGCAACTTACTGGGTAAGGGACTTCAGGAAAGTTACCTTATCTCTCTGGAATTCCTTCATATTTAAACAGGTAACAAAGGAAGCACCTTATCAGGGTTGGCGTATGTTCAAGATCTAAAATAATTGTGCACTTTCCATTAATAGAGATGTAAGGCCAAGTTGTACAGACTTTGACATACCAACCCTGCAGCTTGTGTAATTTGGCACCAAGAGATCCACACAGAATAAATTGTAGACTTCACAAATGATGCTCCCAGGCTGTTAAGCCAATGTTTGAACAATTATTTCTTTCAACCCAGAATACTTTGAGAAATTAAAATCTACTCCATTTAGTTCTATTTGCCAACATGCAGTCAATTAATGGGATAGAAAGTTCTCATGCCTGTGACCGGGTATCTATTTCATGTGTCATATATAAATTGATAATTTCTAGCAAAAATGAAGATAGCCACTAATTTATCAGAAGTTCTAATGTTGAAAGAGGTAAGTGTTATGGAACCTCATGATTTAATCATAAATCTTGAGAACATTCTTTAGCATTACTAGATTAGAGCAGGTCAGCATCAGAGAGAACTATATTCTATTCTATATTCTACCATTAAGCCGTACATTTCTTTTTTGCTTTATACTGATTCTTTAAATAAATAATTAGTATATATAGTTCTTCATCTTCTGCTCTTTGAAATTATGGTGGACAAACCATTTTAGATTTCTTTTAAGAAAAAAAAGAGTTTTGGATTGCCATGTTACTATTTTTACTTGGAATTTGTCTTAGAATTACTGGGATCCTTCTCTTTACATATAAAATACGTATCAGCTAATAATTTAAAGATTTCAGTATCAGTACTATTTTTATAGATTTTAGTTTTGTAAATAAGTTCCAGACTTCTAGTAGAAACTAAAGTATGTGCTATATTTGTGAGACACAGTACTTGATAAATAGCAAGAATTGCCAAAAATTAAAAATAACTGAAGGAAAATTTATGAATACCTTAATGAGCTTCCTTCAAATATTAATGGAGTAAATGATGCTTTGACCTCAAAAATTATGTCAGATTTAGCACTGGAGAAAATTTATAAAAACTTTGTAAATGGATAAGAATGATTAAGATATAAGGAGATACTTTGTGTTTAGCTGATTGCTTTTTGCTCTAGTTGTTTGCAACGCCAAGTTTAAATTCACTCAGAATTTCCACTGAGTAACCGATCATTAGTCTTAGCTGGGGAGAAGTGGAAAAATTAACCATGATAATACTGAGTTTTACTGATATTTCCCTTCATTTTTGGAGCTTGATTTTTAGACTGGTGTGGAGGAGAGTTTACTCTTGGTTAGGTTATACTCAGGTGAAAGGTACATGTTTTTTATCCTGGAAAACATAATGTGATGGAGTAATAATTTCCAAGAAAATTTTACCATTTAATATTTCAGGGGCTTCTCATACTTCCTGGTATTTTATTGGATGGGAATAAGGAGAAAACAATTTGTAGGCATGCAAAGAGTAAAGATTAATTGAAAAACTAAAGAATAAAGCAAGTAGGGTTTTGCAAAGACAATATTTTTTTTTACTATTTTGTTATCATTTCTTATAATAGCAAAAGGCATGCTGAAACGCTGCTCTCTCGCCAGACTTTTGAAGACCATTAATTGGGGAAAAAAAAAAAAACAACAACAAAAAAACCTTTTCTTTGATTGTTCTTATGTGGGCAAGAACTCAAGGTGAATTTTAGATTGGAAATATGATGTGACAAATTTGTTATTGTGGATTAGGTGTAACTTGTGCCTGACTCAACTTTAGGGTGAAGAAACACTGAAAACAGAGGATATTCTTGAAGTAATTGAGAAGGAAGGAGACTCGATTGCAGTGATCCTGTTCAGTGGGCTGCATTTTTACACTGGACAGCTCTTTAATATACCTGCCATCACAAAAGCTGGACAAGCAAAGGTATGCACACCATTTCCCCATCCCACCTTGCCCCAAACATCACTCTACTGAGTAGTCGTCTAACTGCACTTCTAGTGAAATAACCTTTGTGTGTGTGTCTTTATAAAGCTATTTAAAGAGTTTAAAAAAAAAAAAGTAAGACTTGCATTAAAAAAAAAATATGTACTCTTTTGCTTTAGGGATCTCTATTTAAACCTTTTCTTTGTCACTTCTGTTGTCTCACTTCATTACCATCTGCTCTCCCAAAGTTTGCCTCTAATAAGCAAAACAGGTGAGCTTCCTACAAGGTGATGTCCTTGGTACTGAGTTAGTCCTTCAGCAGGCATGAGACAGAATACTTCGGATAATAACTGTATATGCCAGCACTTTTAGAAGCACAACTCTGGGACTTTGTCGTGCTCATTCTCAATGTAGTTCAGTTCTCACTTAAACTTAGATGCTTGAAAAAAGGGAGATGCAGAATAAAAGTTAACAATAGATCGCATTTGACACAGTGTACTTTTAGAAAAGCCACTTTGTTCTTAAGATTTGAGAAATTATGATCCTGCCAATAATGAGAGTTTTTTCCTACATTTTTCCAAGTAACACATAACATCATTTACTATTTTGAAATTGTGTCTCTTTATGTATGTTTGTAAAAAAAAAAAAAAAAAGAAAAAAAATTATTTTAGTTTTTGTTTGCCTAAAAAAAAGAAATTAGAGTAATAATATTCAGCAGCTATAATTTGTATTTAAAATCCTTAAATATCAGTTCTATTTAGTTCAACAATGAAATTATGCATTTAAAAAGATGACAATGGAATTTTGTTCTGAACATTAATAAGTTATGGGATTAATATATGTGTGAGGTCTCTTTAATATATTCAGTTATTGAAGCTAATGAATAGAACTAATGAAAAGAAATTTAGCACTGTTATCAGCAGTCTCTAGGAATTTCCAGCCATGACTTCTAACTGGTTTGATGGATAAGTGTGAAAGTGGTGCATTACAAAAGATATAAAGATAATGTCTTCTTAATTTCGGCATTAAATGTTAAACACCAAAATAAAGGGAGGTCAATAAAAAATTATATTTTAAAATGTTATGCAAGTAATCAGCAGTCCCTGGTCCCCTTAGTATGCATGCATGTCTCATTAACCTTCATTGAGATGAGATAGGAAGATAGAAGACAGACCATGGGTTTTGGAATCACAGTCTGAGGTTTAAATCTTGGCTGGGTCATTGAATTGTTATATGATCTCAGGCAAGTTACTTGACTTTTCTAAACCTCTTCTTACAAGTGTTAATTTGGGATAGCTGGACCCATTTCATGAATTCAGTGTTGAGAAGGAAGACTGTAAAATATGTGCTGTGTTGCATACATTCTGCTTCCATGATGGCTCCTTTACACCTTGCACTGTCCTCAACAAACATGAAGCTATGGAAAGTGGCTCAGATAGACATTTTATTTCCAATTGAAAAGCAAAATAAATTTGTTTACCTAGGTGCTATATGTAATTCTCATTCCTAAGTACTTTGCTAAAACATTCTCTCAGTATTTTTCAGGCTTGCTTTTACTTAAAAAAAGTATAATAAATGCCTACCATGTGACACTCTGATTAAGCCTTCAGTCAGATGAAGGTAAGAATGAGCAGTTCCATCTCAGTGTAACTGCACAGAACTGATGGATACTATGGGAGTAAAATTGGGATTGAGTAGACTTCAATTTAACCGTTATCAAAATTATTCTAATGCTCATTTATACTCTGGCTAGACAGTTTCTCCCATTCCCAATGGAAGGTTGAGAGAAGTGATTTTAAACTGTAGATTTACATAGCTCTCTTGGGTGGTCTGTGCAGATAAAGCTGAAGAGAAAGAAAAATTAAAGGTGTCAATCAAAAAAGAGGAAATTCTAGGGGAAAAAAGGCATTAAACATCACTGTTAGAAATTGCTAAATAAGATAATAAAAAAAGTTTCTGGAAATGAAGTATGGCAGGAACCAAATTGATACTGAGAAGGAGCAAAGAAAGTCAACAAGAATAGTTGTTTATTTCATAATCATGTAAATGGGAAGTGGGGACAGGAATTTTGAAAAAATATATTAACTAAAGAAATGTATGTATTATACCAAAAAGAGTGCAAATCATAAATAAGTGGCTTGATGAATTATTTTGAACCCGTATAGCCATCACCCACATTAAGAAACTTCTAGAACATTTATGCTGCTCAGAATCCTCAATTGTGCCTTCTCTAAAATACTGTTACCTCCCCTCCAAAGGTACCACTCCTTCCTCTAGCCATATATATTAACTTTGTCCATCTATAAATGTGTTAATATGTATCTTTGTATCTGTCTTACTGGCTCATTATTACGTTTCTGAGATTCTTTCATGTAGTATGTAGCGGTAATTTTGTGGGGGTTTTTGGTAGCAGTAGTTTCGTTTTTCTTTTCATTTCAGTGTATTGTTTCAGTGTATGAAATCGATCGCAATTCATTTTTGTTTTCCATTCTGATCAGGATAGTTATTTGGGGTTTATTTCCATTTGAGGGCTACTGTAGTAAGCGTGACTCTGAATATTCTCAGACATTAGGTAAGCATTCACACCAGTTTCTGCTACATACATACTCAGGATTGGAAGTCTTGGAAATAGGTATACATACATCTAATCCTAATCAATAGTCCCAACTTTCTGAAGGGTTGTACCAATTTGGCGTATACTCCCATCAGCATGTTATGAGAGCATCTGTCGCTCCACATCCTCACGAATAGCCAATCTGATTAGTTTTAATTTGCACTAGCCCTGACTATTGATGAGGTTGGGATTTTTCAAATGTGTTTTTTGCCTTCTGAGTGTCTTCTTTTAAGAAATACTTGTTCAAATGTCTTGCCCAATTTGCATTCAGTTTTCTGTCATTACTTGGCTATAGATGGTATAGAAGTGGATTTTGAAGCATAGAAAAATACAAGATTTCCAGTAATCATCTAAAAAGAAAAATTAATTAATCAAAAGAACAGTTTTGATTCATATAATGAATTTCAGATGCTGAGGCTTTTCTTAAATGAGAAGGCCTGAGATGGTAACAAGTAGGGCAGGCCAAGGAAAATTAAACATAGTGTCAAGTTATAAGGGAAGGCCAGCATATAAAAAGAGATGTCAGTTTGAAGATACATTTTCATTTTTTGTCTTTGAAGCCATTTACTTTATTTTATATTGTTGGCCAACCCACTATTTCGCAAATCTGCCTCACTTCCCTATTTCTAAATTTTTCATATTCGATTAGTTGTTCCTACTAATCATTTCTTCTTTTCTACACACACTGAATGTAGTTGCTCCTCATTGTGCTTTGAATTATTATCCCTAGAGATTTTAACCATTTCCAAGATTCCACTCTTGTTGCCAAGTGAAAGCTACAGGGTACTCCCACACTCAAAAATGATTATTTGTGCTCATCTCCCTATTCTACCTGGAAATCCTACATCCACTCTGAAATCAGTAGGCTCTAGTTTTGTTTCCCCTAAAAGGACCCTAATATTTCATGTCCCCACCCTTCTGGACCTTTAGACTCAATTCTGACATTTTCCTCCTCTTTGCCTTTCAACCAGTCACTTTTTAATCCCACCTTCTCAGGGTTGGTCTTTTCTTTAATATTCCTGAATTAATTAATGATGTTTCTAAGCTTTAAAAACAAAATCCCAGTGAGAAATTGGGCAAAAGTTGGGGATTTCTTTTTCTCGCCATGAAAGATTTGAGTTAGGAGTCTGCTGGGATGCACTGAGCAGTTGAGTAATGTCTGAGTGGCATCTCTTGGGTTCTCTTGTTTTTTTCTCAGGCTTCTCACATCGTGGTCACAAGACAGTTGTCCCAAATCCAGATATCATGATTCTATTTAAGACAGAAGGAAGGAGAGAGAAGTAGCAGTGCAGCTTCATCTGTCCCTTTCATCCAAAGTGCAAAATTATTCCCAGAAAAAGCTAGCAGATTCCTGCTTATGATTCATTGCCTTCTGAAGTGGTAGCTTCAAAAGAGCATGAGTAAAGAAATTCTTAACCTTTATGGTATTATAGTAGAGACAGACTAAGAAGAAGGATTTGTTTAACCAACCCACAGTATTTATTACATTTCCCATTTTCACCCCCAAAGGGACATCGTTTCTAACTTGCTGCCTCTTTCCTCTTCCATCCCTTCCTAACTTTCCCCCCCTTTTTTCCCCTTCCTCCTTTATTTCTTTCTTGCTTTATATTTTATTTTTCACCTCATTTCATAAAACATTTGAAAATGAGTCACAGGAAATTGATTAGACAGCATAAGGAAATATAAAGGGAGAGAATAATAGGAAAATCTCTGGATCATCTGGAGAAATGAATAGACTCCCCGTAAATTATAATGTCTCAGCTTGGATTAAGATAAGAAGTAGGTAACAAATAGAAATTATTAAAAAAAATAGAAATTATTTTCAGTGGAAACTCTTGGTATATTAGATAGATTAGGTCTTGGTAACTAACAAGTAAAGCTATAAATGCTTTCATTGTGATAGATGTTTATTTATTGTTCATGCAGCAGCCAGGAATCAGCTTTCTTCCATGAAATGATACCAGGTTCTCAATCACTCAGGACTGTGTCCTGTGGCTTTCATACCCTGGATCCTTTGTCTGATTCAGCCAAAACAATGGGGTAAAAGGATGTGAAGGGGCATGCTAACTTCTTAAAGGTGTTGACTTAACCATGGCAAAATTTATTTTCACTCATATTCCTTTGGCTAACACATGGACATTTCTGTGAAATGAAGTATATTTGTGTACTCAAGAATAATAGCTACTAGTTTTGCCGCACCTGGAACTCAGATGTTTTGTCTTGCTGATAGAGCAGGATACTTACTTTGAGGTGTAGTGTAGCATTTGCCTTAATAAAAAGTTTAGATAGTGGAGACAGAGTCAGACCTGGTCTTGAGTCCATGTCCCTTTCCTTAGTTTCTAGCATACTTTGGCTTAATTCACTTCCTGATATGACTTTATTTCTC